TTGGAACCCTTGAAGTAAGGGTGGTTTAGAGTTGGCAAAACAAGGGAGAAAAGTCGAGTTTTCTGGGCAAGGGGTTGGCGCGTCGCGCCTGCCTGCGCTCCCCAAAAAGGGTTCTGAAGTTTCCCCCTTGGGGTGGCGCACCTCTCTGTACGCCAGCAGGCCACCTCTGAAGTTTTTGGTCTGGCGCTCCGCGCCTCTCAGAGCGCCAAGAGAGCCAGGTTTTCCCATTCATTCCCTACTTTCTTATGCATGTTCCTAGGTATTGTACCTATGTTTCCTAGTTGTTTCCAACACTCCAAGGTACTTCTAAAAGTCAAGAACTCATCCGTAACATGTGATCAAACACCTTGAATTCATAATCCAATTCAAGGAGAGTTAGTTTCCAAGTCAAGTGAACTTAGAAGTCAAGTGAAATCAAGAGTTAAGCTTAGAAGTTAAGCAAGTCTTTAAAGTTGTTCAAGAGTCTTTATTGAATGTTTTAACTTCATTTTTAGGCTTAAGTTGCAAGTCAAGTAAAGAGTAAAGAGTCAAGAGTTTCAAGTTGAGTAAAGAGTTTAAAGTTGAGTTCATTTCTCAAAGTTATTAGAGAAATATGTATTCCTAAAGAAGTTTTAAAGAAATGTTTTTACATTTAAACAAGGTTGGAAACTGAGATTTCCAAAAGAGCCTTCGGGCAAGTTTTTGAGTAATTATCTCATATCAGCAGGAAGAAATATGTTTTAAAAACATAAGAGCCAGTACATTTTTGGGAGTAGTATCGAGCACCGAATTGGGGGAGCGTTCAAAGAACCCACAGCCCCCATAGAACCATGTTAGCCACCATGGGTAGAAAAGGATCATACTTTTTAGATGAATCCTTTTCAGATTAGACTAGTGGATCCATTAGGCAGTTCAGGTCCTATACCTTTGGCCGGGAATAGGATGCTCTGGCAGCGTGAGGTCGATCGCTGTATCATCACTATAGCTCTTATGTAATGGTTGTCGGTTAGAGAAACTCCCACAGCAGTTATTGTATTTTCATACACAAAGATTATTGTATTTTTTCAGTCAGGTTGATTGAGTTGAGCCAGGTAAGCTATTCAATTTCTTCCAGATTGCCTTCCAGCCTATGTTGCTTAGTTTTCCAGCTCGCATACTCGTACATTCCATGTACTGATGCCAGTTGGCCTGCATCTTTTAATGATACAGACACAGGTACCCAGGATCAGCATCCAGTACGTCGTTGATATTAGGGTGCTGCGGGGTCTGTCCCAACATCCATCTCAGTAATTGTAGAGGCTTCATAGACAGTCAGTCAGTTAGTATTGAGTCTCTCATCTATGTATATATGTAAATATTCTATTTTGATACTTGAGTTGCCCTTTGGGGCCAGATGTTTATCAATTAAGTTGTTTATGTCTTTGCATGGCATTGAGTTATTCTGTTGAGTTAGGTTTCCGCTGAATGAAGAAAGCCAGGCCAAGGGTTCTCTTGGAGCCAGCAATGGTCTCCGAGTGCCGGTCCCGCCCAAGGTGTAGGCTCAGGGCTTGACACTCAGGAAGGTCAATTAGTATAGCCTCTTCTCTCTTTGTATAAAAATCTAGAACACTACTATCACTTATGAGACAATAATTGCGCCAATAAACATGTGGACTACTGAAGGACATAGAGTTTAAAGTATTGCGTATCAGTTGGATTTCACGTCATAAAAAGGATCAAGTGGTTGTGGGAATTATCAACGCTATGATGTTTTAACCTGATAATATACAGCTAACAAGATTCGATCATCAAAGTGTTGTGTGATGAACAAGCTACTGAGGTTGAGGATACAACAAATTTGTATGGGGAATATGAATTGAGAGGATGTCACCAACAGAATGAATTGGACACTACTAGATATATAGTATGCATCAAACTATTAAATGTGTTAATTAGATCTACTTCTTTCCTTGGATGATTGTTGTTTAGTTTTCTTAATTTCGAATATATATATATATATATAAGTGGGTGCAGAAACTCTTTGCTTGTTTATTATTTGTGTATGTTAAGATATTTATTAATGCATCATCCACGTATTATATTCAGGACAAATCGTAGCTACAATTATTGTGAAGCCTCCGAACAAAAATAGAGAAAAGGATGCAGGCATTGATGACTATCTTAGAACTGTGTTAAAGCAACACAAATTTTACAATACCTGATCACACAAATTGTGTATTGTTGCTGATCGGAGGATTGTCAAGTTGATATAAGGAGACCAAAAGATCCATCCCCACCGATGTGAGAAAAGAAGACCAGACAAGGGTATTTTATTTAGAATTAAAAATATAGCAACTCCGGTATATCCTATTCTAAAGCAGTGTACTTACAGAGAAAAGATGGGGAGTTGACTCAAATAGAACAGTTCTACAAAGGAAAGATGAGGAGATAACTCTTGATTAAGAAAAATATTAGTTGATATCTCCTTACCTTGCACCAGAAGGTTGTGACTTTTTCAAGAGATGAATAATTTAATGCATATTCTAAAGAAAAGATTAGGTGGATCAAGCACCAAAGTCAGAATCAATCTTGAAGAAAATTTCTTACAAAATATTTTTTTGTCAATGTCATTGGCAGCCTTTTATATAATTGTGCATCTTATACCACGTATTGGTGCGCCAAATAACCAATCCCAAAATCAACATTTCTGAGAGGTATTATCTTTTGGTTCATATCATTTTCCAAAATGGATATTTCCGTAGCGAGTTTTAACTTCAACACCTTTCTGGCTATCCATATTGTGTTTCATGTGTTTATATTCTCATTTTCTCTCCAACATGTTGCATCAGCTGGCAATGAAATTGACAAACTTGCCTTTAATTCAAATCCCAAACAACTGAGGACCCATCAAGAGTTTTTGTCTCTTGGAATAATTATGTTCATTTATGTCAGTGGACTGGAGTAAAATATGGCCTGAGACATGGAAGAGTCATCCGTTTGAAATTTATTTTGATTGATTGTATTGATTTGTTTCCTGATCCTTATTCATAATGGTAAATATTGTCATTTGCTTTGATTAATTGTATTGATTTTCTTTCTTGATCCTTATTGATAACTGTAAAGATGGTTGTCGCACCCCGAGGCTACCCCTTGGACGTAAACACGGGACCTAGGATCATGAGTGACCCCAAGCTAACCCTGTTGGCATATCATAAGAATATTAAGATAACTAAAACAATAAAATTCTGTGCGGAAGCTTAAAACATATCATAAATAGAAATGGCGGGGAATTCCGTCTGAATATTTGAAAATGAGTTTAATGACAATTGAAAGGTCAATCTCAAAACTAAAACTGAATCTAGTACTATATCTGAATAAAAGGCTCTACCGATTAGAGATGTTGGGACATGCCCAAGCTTGCTCTAGCAAAACTGAAACTAAAACTAAAACAAATTGACTGAATATAAAACATGTCAATCATCCTCGAAGAATGAGGACTCACCAGTGATGCTGCTGAACTCGAGATCTGTAACCGATCTATGTGTAATCTAATTAAAACGATGTAGTTTAGGGGTCAAACGCATAAGGAAAAGACCAAACAACCCCTCACTTAAAAGCTGTCGGGGCCAACTAACGAACTGACTGACGGACAGTCGACTGACCAATGGTCTGTCCTATCAACCATCGTTGGCTTTCATAGAAGGGGTTCTGAGGGTCATGATCCACGGACCAGGATAACGACTTGTGGTCTGACCTACGGTCTATGGGTCCGGTTGTGGGTCATTCCTTAGATTTTTCTGTTTGAGTTTTCTGGGGAGGGCTGCAGGTGGTCATCCATGGACCCCAGCTACGGTCCGTGGGTGGTGCCCATCGGTGGCATCTGTAACTTCTGATTTCTGCAAACTGGTCTTTCTAGCATACATGGTGTAACATTTTATCCCTGTTGGGAACAGTCGTCCTCGAATGAAGACTAAAATAGCTTAAAATTGAGGGAAAGGGCTGTAAACCTTGCCACTAAGTACTGGAATCTGAAATTTGACTGAACTAAGTTCCAAGAACATGTAAATACGCTGAAAATGTAATTATAACTGAAGGAAAATGATACTAAGACTAAATCTAATTATGAATGAGATGAGGATACTTGGCCTTCATGCCTTCTTCTGCTTCCCAAGTAGCTCCCTACACTACAAAAAACCCTTGAATTGCTAACAATATTATATGTTGGTAAATTGATTAAATTGGTTGGTAAATGACTTTTCTAATCGAATACCAACTAATAATAATCCGTTGCTAAAAGTCTCGTCGGTAAATTTTACCAACCCATTTCAGTTAGTTGGTAAAATTACTGACTAAAAATCAATTGGAAAACACATAAAAAAAACTGTTGGTAACTATTGAAACATGGCCTTAGAATATTCGTTGGTAAATTCATCAACCAATTTTTTGTTGGCATATTGTTGGTAAGTTTACTAACGAAGAGAAAAAACATTTAGTAAATTTGGTTCTTCATTATTCAATTTGGTTAGTGATATGTTGGATAATATAGTAAAAAATATAAAATGTTGTTAGTATTTCGTTAGCACTTTTCTAACAAATAACAACTTGGTTGGTAAGTTCGATAGTAAATTCGCCAAAATACATTGGTAATTAGTTAGCAATTTCAATTAAGAAAACAAATGTGTTGGTATTTCGTTGGTAAATTACCAATGGATTTAAATCCGTTAGTAAGTATGACTATCTACTTTTGTAACTTATGTTATTAATTGGTTAGTATTTTGGAAACACAAAAATGCTCATTAGTAATTCGGTTGGAAGTTTACTAACTGATTGTTATTTTGTTGGTAATATATATCATTTATGTTCGATATTCGGTCAATGATTGATTGGTAATATATATTTCAATATTACTGACTGATGATAATTCGATAGTAAAATTTCACCTAATATATTTACATCAATAAATATCTTTTACGAATCTTAAAGAGCCCAGAAACATAATAAAAAAGGTAATTCTTTGAAAAGTTATAACTTGAAATTAGGAATGCAAATCCTAACAAAAAGAGTTCAAAATAAATCTAAATATGGAAACAAACAAAGAAAATTCTGCCTAAGATAGTTTGGAAATTTTAAATGACCCATATTGTTATGTGATGATGAGTCATGTCTAAGCTAATTTGGTGTATCAAGGGGTGGTGTACCACATGGTGGTTTAGGTAGGCCAGCTATGAGGATAGGCAAACGTTCTTGGAGAATCTTATCAACTTGCTCTTGCATTTCTAGCTGCATTTCGTGTTTCATTTCTTCACACAATTCTTCTCTCATCTCATCCTTCATCTCCTCCTTCATTTCTTGAACGTACTCCTTCACTCGAGTATCAAAATCACAATCTTGAGATTGAGTAGTTGAAGCAGATGACGAACCAACGTTCTCATAGAAAGCCGCTTGAGAACCAAGACCATATATACATGCCTTCTTAACCCCACCCACTTCATCCATGTAAGCCTTCGAAAAATCAATTGTCGGAGACTCGCCAGATTCATCTACAAGCTGAGATGCAGACGTGATCTTAGACATTACAGCATCCTGGAAAAACAAAACATATGATATTACGTTAAGAAAAAATTACTAGCAATTATAAAGATACAACACAATTGATATTAGTTGACAGTCTTTGTCCCCGACAGTACCTCCTCCACCACACTTCCCATTTCTATACCTGCAATTAGTATTTATTTTGACACAAGTACATGTAGGTCGATTTCATTATATAAAAATAGCCTTCTTGGACCTATTGTTTCTGTCCAAATTAGAAATTATCTCCTCCCAATTGTATCTCAAGTTGATCATTTGAAACTTGCATTTTTCTACTTCATTTAGATTAAAAAGAAATATTGGACAAAAAGAGGTTGAACAGAGACAAAGAACTGGAAATCTGCCCTAATTTCTTATGCTATTTGGGATATACCCGGGGACAACTATATGAATAGGTTTATAACTCAAAATTGGTCATAGGTGACTAAGCTGCCGATATAACTTCATGATGAAGACTACTATATAGTGAGGTTCCAAAACATGATGGTTATGCAGGAAATTATGTGTACATGACCATATTCTATAAATAACATGCCAATAATCCTAAAATATTGGTCCCCAACATTTGATCTCAAGCAAGGAAGATCATCAAAGCATCATTCGGTCAAGCAAGCAAGATCACCAAAGCATCATTCAGACAAGCAAGCAAGATAATCAAAGCACCATTCAGATTTTAGAATAAATGGGTAAACCATTCTCAACTCATGTCTATAAGTAATGCTAGTTGGAGGATCAGATAAGCCAAGGGAAAAATGAAAGCAATGCTGGAGAAATTGAAGCAGCTCAAATCTCCATTTCGTTTACATCTCGATATTGAGCACTTCAAAGGGACTACTGTACAGATCATCAAAGCACCATTCAAATTTTACATTAAATAGGTAAATCATTCTCAATTTATGCCTATAGTTAATGCTCGCTGGAGGGCTAGCGAATGTAAGGGGAAAATGAAAGCAATGTTGGAGAAACTGAAGCAGCTAAAATCTCAATTTCATCGACATCTCAGTTATAAGCACTTCAAAGGGATTACTGAAAAGATCGACAAAACTAGACTACATGTGGCACAACTGCAACACCAACTGAAACATAATTATAACGATATTCTTGCATCAAAAGAAAAGAAGGCTCCAGAACAATTAAAAAAATTGCCACTCATTGAAAAAAGTATTATGAAACAATGATAAAGGGTAAATTGGATTAAACTAGGAGATGCAAATACCAAATATTTCTCTACACTAATGAAGGAGAAGATGCAACAAAAAAATAAAAAATAAAGCTGATTGCTTTAACTGGGCAAAAACTGACAGATACAACATACATTCAAACAGATATTCTACAATTTTACAAATTCCTCATGGGCACTACAACACATTCTCTGCCAACAGTTAGTAAAGAAACAATGAGTAAAGGACCAACACTGGATCGTCAACATTAGTTAGATATATGCAAGAGATATCACAATGATATTTGCGCATGAAGATAGACCAAAAGCTGTATTTACAATATGGTGCAACTTCATGGTCATTTGAATTCAACAGATAGACTAACAAATTGGGGAATAGATGTGGATCAATAATGGTATATGTATGGAAAGGCACAAGATACCAATGAACATCTATTTATAGATTGTGAATATGCAAGGATATTGATGACTAGACTATCGTAGTGGCTAAAAGTTAAGGACAGTGAACCTCAAGGATGTCCAATAGGAAAAACTACTTCAACAAAGATCATGAAAATGGTCTGTACTGAATTCATTCATGTCGTCTGGACCGAGAGAAATTTCACCAAAGCATTTGAGTAGAAACAAAAAGATATAACCAGTTTAGCAAGAGAAATAAATTGTAATTGCAAAGAGCTTCAAGAAAACAGAGTACTATAATCCAGCAGTTAAATGATATGGTGTATTTATCATATATAGGTATCTCGCAAAAAGACTACCTAGAGGAGCAATTTTTTTTATATATCAAGACAAACAAACTGGGATGTAGTTATGTTGTGGTGCTTGAATTCCCTACTTGGTGATTAATACAGGTTATTAGTTATGAAAAAATATATTGGTTAGGAACCTCTTGACATACGTCTTCTCAATACCATACTTTATCCCACATCTTACTCACCAAATTTTCCAAGTAGTTATGATAGGAATAATTTTAAAGATCAAAGCAATCATAGAATTATGGATCTAGAATTTCCATCAGTAAACTAAAATTCATAGTAGGATAAGCTTACCAATGAATAATAAATAGGCCACATACGATTTTACATAGTTTCTAGGCAAGCACACGATTATAGAATGAGGAGCATCAATGTAACAACATCTAGAACATCTAATGATTGCTACATAGGGACCTACTTTTTATGTTCATACTTGAAATGGTAGGAATTGAGTCATTTTTAAAATGAAAATTATCAAATATAGAAGAAAGTGTGCATGATATTTGTCTTTAATATATTTCTATGATTTATAATAACTCTGCATTTTTCTGTAATAACAAAGATCTCTCTATTAATTATAGAGATGCAAGGATATCAATTTCAATTTGACATAATCACGTCACACCTCATTGTTAACCTTCAATATTATAACCATGTACTTAATGTTTGGGATAAATATGATGAATACTAAAGAAAATTCTCTACAAAATTCAGAAAGATAATCAACAATGTTTGATGTTACTTACATATGTGCTCTTAGACTTCAGATCCACAAACTCATTGTTTCCTTTGGTATGTGTCTTCTTCAAAAGTTCATGCGGATGAGGTGGCCGTCCAAGTACAATCGCCTAAAATTGAAATCACATCTATCAAAGTTTACACAAGGAATAACTTTGAAGAAACTATAACTTGATTAAATGAAAAAGATTGTACCAGTTGTCTTGCATGCTCTCGGTGAGTCTGGGAGCCTCCAGTATGGCGTGAGGGACCAGATCCTTCACCACATTTCTCACTTAGTCAATTTTTTTAACATTGTGCAGATTTAGCCTTAAAATCCTCAGTATCATGGTGAGGCTTCCAGCTCTCCCAAATAGATTTTGGGATATTTTTTCGCTTCTCCTCGGAGGATCTTGCTTCAGATAACATACCCTTGTATTGTATTGAATATTTTTTTTAAATGATCCTTTATGGAACCTTCAATTGCAGTATTCCAATGGAATCACTTCTGTTTAAAAATTCAAAGAAAAATATCACATGAATTGATATAAGAAATCCAAATGAATAAAATCCATTAATAAAATGAAGGTAAAATGAAATTTATGGGTAAAATGGGTACATGAATATTATAGAATGAGACACAATCAATGAGTTTTCAAAGGCTCCAAAAAAGACATGAAAAGCTATAGTTACACAAGTTATTCAAGAGGTGTTCTAGAAGAGTAATAACAGTAGGAAATTGGATGCATTATTCGAAACTATGAAGTTGTATCTCTAAATATTTTCTCTTTTTCTAGATGTAGCAGATGAGGCAACATATGTTTTTCTTTTAGCTAGCTGTAGTGGTTTTGTTTCTATTAGCTATGTTTTTCTTTTGTTGTTCTTTAAACAGTACGAATTTATTTTGGTAAGAAAATCAATAGTAATCAAAAGAAAAATAGTATAGTTTACCTTAAACTCCTCCCAATAGAAGTCCTTAATCTTTGGTGTAATTGACTTCCAATCATGTCCTTGAGGATCCAATTTTTCCTTAAAGATTTTTGTGATTTCCCGGGATACATTGTTACTCGGCTCCAAACTTGTATAAATATAGCAAGTAATTATTTTAATACTCAATTTTATTTATATACATAAAGCAATAGATAGAATGTATTATCAGTGTCTTTAGAGACAATATAAGAGCTTGAAAAGGCAGAGGAAGTAAGGAAGAAATGTATGAAACTTATGAAAGTATAATCAAAGAGAAGGACTATATATAAATTATAAAATCCTGCCATTAGCATATCTTGAAATGACTAGTTGGGAGGAGACCATGCTCAGCTTGGGTTCAATACATTTGATTCATTTGGTTTGACATTTTACTATCTATTTTATAGAAAAAACAGTACAAGTATATAGATCTTAACATTTTCTAATCAAAACAACAACCCTACATATATATAAATTGGGAGGTCCTAAAGCAAGGCAAGAGCTTAAAAGTTGATCACCCAAAAAAGCAAAGTAAACAATAATTTTACCAGGCAATCTGAACATGTTGTGCAATAGCAAAATTTTCGGGACCTGCACATGGGGCATTCTATGTCCACATTCTATAAATCAGATTCCTCACCACATTATGTTGCCACATTTAACTATGGCTTCTTATATAAGAGAAATATAGACATCGGTGAACAGGCTATTTTCTTCAAAAATGAATTATTTTATATTAATTTAAAAACACATCAATTCTATAATTCATTCCCATCAATGCAATTTAAGAAAACCAACAAAACTTTGAAAGATTTATAGAAAAATAGTATGGAAAGAAAATCAATATGGCTTATTTTCTTGCCTGAAGCAAAACAATGTAAATGAAACGATGTTGTACACTTACCGTCCCAAGATGATTTCAATTCAAATGCAGGTATCATCAGTTATATTTGCCGAAGTTTTAGATACAATGTCATTTCTAGGTGTTTCTATCCCCACAGATGAAGATGGTACCGATATGTTGACAGCAACTGAATCTGGCATAACTGGTGTCGGCAGTTCAGGCAATGATGGTGCTTGATCAGGTGTGGAATGAGACATTAGAGGAGATGACACTGGATCTGATGATCTTTTTCCAGAATATCTGCTTCGTCCACCCCCCTTGGTGCCATATCTGTTATTTCAAAGTTACATGTGGATGAAATAATAACATAATAATTCAATCATGGCCAGTTTGGTCTAATTTTAACAAGAATAGGTAATAAGTTGATATATCACTTCAAGAACAAGATTCCTCTATAAAGTTAAAAAAAATGTGTTAACCTAGAAAATAGATAGAAACATAAACACTTCAAGGAATAAAGCTATTCCATCACTATTCAAAACATAGATCTAGAATGGTCTACTTCACATTACGAAATGAGAGTGAGGGATAGTTGTTAAAAAAAACAACCTGGAGAACAATTAAAACAAAATAAGTATACTGGTAAAAGAGAAGTATAAATTGGTGAGATTTAAAATTCAGAACTTTGTCAGCAAGAAGTATAAAATCTAATTGAAATAAAATCAGCGTATATACTACGTTTCAGTCACTCTAACTCTTATATTTGAAGAGATTAGAGCTAAGCACTTTGACTCTATTCGCTGCCACTTTCATAGTATGCCTTTTCATTCTCATTTTCATCATCTAATTCTAATTCTGGTACATCATGAAATTCTGTCTCATCATCTAAATCATCATTCTCATCTCTTAAGTTTATGAATTCTCCATTTGGATCATTTCAGACAATAGTTTCATTGTCGTACACCACATCAAATCTTAAACCATTTCTGTCACATTGGAATGGCTCTGCAACATCTACTAGAGGAGACAATAAATATGACGGAGGCATAACCACAATACCCCTAGATTTTTTTTTGCACACAGCCCACCAATCACTCTTATCACGTCGTAAGCTAGGATTAGAAGCATAATACACTTGAGCTACTTGCATTGCCAAAACAAATAGTTCATACTTCTTCAATTTCCTTTTATGGTTGATATCCACAAGTTTATATTGCGGGTGGATCTTCATTCCTACATTTGGTGTGGGGTCAAACCATTCACATTTAAATAAAGTAGTTTTTTTGATTGGTGTACTGCCCTTGTACTCCAATTCAAGAATTTCAGTAAGCACGCCATAGTAGTCATTGTCATCTGCACTGTAATTGGTTCCTTTTATGCAAACACCACTGTTATTAGATACTCTAGAAAAATTGTGACCTTTAGTATGAAACTTAAAGCCGTTGACATTATAACCAGTGTAGGGTTTCGCTGATCGACATGGACCTTCTACAAGCGCCTTGATGAACTGATTATCTATGTGGACTCGAGCCTATGAAATTAAAAAAAATTAAAGTTTCTTATAAATGAACTAAGTACAGATGGAAAGATATTGTACAATTGCTCACATATCTTATGAACCATGATGCAAATTCTTCATCAAGTTTCTTGTCCACTTCCTGCTCCGTAATTCGTGGAAAATTTTGATGAAGGGAGTCAATAAATTTCCTTTGGATCACATATAAAAAAAAGAATATGTAAGTGTTTTGATAATTATAATGTATAATAAATGAAAACAAAAGCTTGAAATCTTACTCCACATATGGCTGCACTTCTCTGTAATTTAGTAAAATATAAACATGAGCTGCTTTAAGTTCTTCTTTGGTTAGATATCTCCTTTTTAGTTCCCCAAATCCTCGACCTGGATAGGTGAATATAGAAAGATTACCATCGTATCCATCTTGTTCGCCTATACCACCATCGTCATTTCGTGGAACTTTTCTATGCCTTGTGTAAACATGAGGCTCGAAGTAGTGTGAACAAAAGGATGAAGCTTCCTCAACTCTATACGCATTGCATATGCATCCTTCAACATGAGCCTTATTTCAAATATTATATTTATACTTTCGAAGATTTCTGAAAATAGTACAAAAGCTTAAGGCATTAGTCATTCAAAATGATGAAAATGAAGTACTTAAATAACCAAGTTTATTTTACTCGTTGGGTCCTCTCTAAGCTTTGTATTGTTGCTTAGTGATTAACAAAATCAGTTTAATTGCCCAAAAAATGAAGTACTTGAATATATAAATGAAATCTTACCTCTCAAATGGATACCTCCATCGATATTGTACCGGACCAGCTAGCATTGCTTCATAAGTGAGATGCACAGGGAGATGCTCCATTGAATCAAAGAAGCTAGGAGGGAATACATACTCTAATTTACAAAGTATTTCAGGTATTTCTTGTTGAAGACTTACCATATCCTCTTCACGTATTACTGTAGAAGTGACATCCATAAAGAAAAGACTCATCTCAGTAAGTGCTTCCCACACCTTTTTTGGTAATAGCTCACGGAATGCAATAGGAACCAATCTTTGCATGAATATATGACAATCGTAACTTTTCATACCTAATAACTTGTGTTTTTTCATATCCACACGCCTTCCCATATTTGAGACATATCCATCAGGAAACTTTAGACTTTTCACCCATTCACACAACAATTTTTTTACTCTTCTTTTAGTGTGTAAATAGCTTTCGGGTATTTTCCATCAACAACATGTAATTTAGGTCGTCGACAGAACTCTTTCAAGTCTTCTCTAGATTTTGGGTTATCTTTTGTTTATCATCTACATCCAGCACTGTGTTGAACACATTCTCGAAGAAGTTCTTCTCAATGTGCATCACATCTAGATTATGCCGAATGAGATTGGTACTCCAATATGGCAAATCCCAGAATATGCTTCTCTTCTTCCAACTAGAAAACTTACTAATCCAACAATTAATAATATCAGACCCAAGTTCTGTTACCTTTTTAAGTCCCAGTTCTTCTATCTCTTTTAAGACATCTTCACCTGATCCTAATGGGGGAGGCTGCATGGTTACTACTCTATTCTTTCTAAATGAGCTCTTATCCTTTCTATAAGGATGATTCAATGGCAGAAACTTAGATGGTTGTCAAACCAGGACTGCTTACCACTTTTTGTCAAAGTAAAAACATCAGAATTCTCCTTACATTATGGACATGCTAGCCTGCCCACAATACTCCACCCAGACAACATTGAATATGCAGGAAAGTCACTGATTGTCCACATCAAAGCAGCTCACATTTTGAAATTTTGCTTCTTAGAGATATCGTATGTGTTGACACCTATATTCCATAAATTCTTCAATTCAGTAATCAAAGGCTGCAAGAAAACATCTAGTTACTGCTTAGGATTCTTTGGCCCAGGAACTATAACTGACAAAAACAAATAGGGATTTTCATACACATCCAAGGAGGCAAGTTGTATGGTGTCACAATTACTGGCCAAGATGAATATTGTTTTCCCGTTTGTCCAAATGGTTGAAACCCATCAGTTGATAGCCCCAATCTAACATTACGGCTTTCCTCTGAAAAAGATGGATGCTTCTTATCAAAGTGCTTCCAAGCAGGTGCTTCGTATGTGTTGACACCTATATTCCATAGATTCTTCAATTCAGCAATCAAAGGCTGCAAGAAAACATCTAGTTGCTGCTTAGGATTCTTTGGCCCAGGAACTATAACTGACAAAAACAAATAGGGATTTTTCATACACATCCAAGGAGGCAAGTTGTATGGTGTCACAATTACTGGCCAAGATGAATATTGTTTCCCGTTGTCCAAATGGTTGAAACCCATCAGTTGATAGCCCCAATCTAACATTACGGCTTTCCTCTGAAAAAGATGGATGCTTCTTATCAAAGTGCTTCCAAGCAGGTGCTTCTGAACAGTGACGCATTACACCTTCCTCAACTTCATGTTCAGCATGCCATCGCATGTGCGAAGAAATTGCTTTGGAAGCATACAGTCGTTGCAGCCGCGGAGTAAGAGGAAAGTAATACATCTGCTTAAATGGTACAAGTTTTTTCTCTGAAAGAGATCTTTGACTTGTAGGCTTGTACCTGGGATGACTACAAAACTTGCAATTTACAAGCTCACTATCCTCTCCCCAG